GTCTGAGGCTGCCCCCCCGCCCCCTCGCACGGGGGCTGCCAGATAAGCGGCCGCCGGCAGGACTGGAGTGCGGGGCGCCTCCGCCACGTCACACACCTCCCCCCCTACATGCCCTTTTACCCCTTGTTCCGAGTCCTCCTCCTATCTGTCCCTTCGTGAGAAGAAGTCCGCATTCCCGTGCGCAGCTCTGGCCCGGTGGACTACATCAAAGGCGTAAGGCTGTAAAGAGAGATACCAGTGCATAATTCGAGCATTTGAGTCTTTCATGCTTTGCAGCCACCGCAACAGGGCGTGGTCTGTCATGACCGTAAACCGGTTTCCCCATAAATAGTACTGGAGCATCTCTATAGCCCATTTCACTGCCAACGCTTCTTTCTCTATGGTCAAATACCTGCGTTCCCGGGAGAACAGTTTCCGACTTATATATACTATGTGGTGTTCCGTGCCTTCCTGTTCTTGTGAGAGGACAGCCCCTAATCCGTCCTCCGAAGCGTCAGTTTGTACTATAAAGGGTTTCTCAAAATTCGGCTGACCTAATACTGGTGCCCCTGTCAGCTGGCCTTTGAGTGCCCGGAAGGCCTGTTCACACGTTCTTGTCCACACTACCTTGTTAGGTCGCGCTTTTTGTGTCAAATCTGTCAGCTGGGCTGCCAGAGACACGAAGTGGGGGACAAACCGGTGGTAATAACTGGCTAGTCCTAAAAATTGGCGGACTTGTTTTTTGGTCGTGGGCGGGGGATAGTCTCGTAATGCTCCTACCTTGTCGATTAGTGGTCTCACACAACCCCGTCCGATGGTATAGCCCAGGTACGTAACCTCCCGGTCTCCAAAGTGGCATTTGTTGAGGTTCACTGTTAGTCCCGCCTCCTGTAACATTCTTAGTATGGCCTGGAGTCTTTTCAGATGCAGCTCCCATGACCGGCTATAGATTATGATGTCATCGATGTACGTGGCTGCGTACTGTTGGTGGTCCTTTAATACTTTATCCATCAGCTGCTGGAATGTAGCAGCTGTAAGCCGAACAGCATGCGTACGAATTGATATAACCCAAAGGGGATAGAGAAGGCTGTCTTTTCCCTCAAGGTGGTGGTGAGGGGGATCTGCCAGTATCCTTTACTTAGATCGATCGTCGACAGCTATTGGGCTTGTCCGAGGAGGTCCAGCAGTTCGTCTACCCTAGGCATGGGGTACGCGTCGAAGCGGGATATACTGTTGACCTTGTGGAAGTCAATACAGAACCGTGTCGAGCCGTCTGATTTCGGGACCAGCACAATGGGACTTCTCCAATCACTATGTGACTCTTCGATCACTCCCCACCGGAGCATTTTTTGTACCTCTACCTTCACTGTTTCCCACATCTTCCTTGGCAGAGGGCGAACTGGGTCTCTCACCTTTTTGCCAACTTCGGTATCAATGTGGTGGTAGGCTCGGGTCATCCACCCTGGCTGGTCGGTCAGGACTCCGGCGAACTCCCGGAGTAGGTGTTCTAGTTCCCTTTTTTGTTCCGGTGCCAGTCCTGTGCTTATCCCCGGTTCTGGTGGAGTGAGATTGCGCACCCCTTCGGGGTCTAGGTCTATCTCTGCTTCTGCGGCATTCGATATCAGTCCCTCCTGGTTCTTCCAGGCCTTCAAGAGGTTAACGTGGTAGATTTTTGTTTCTCAGCGGGCTTCCGTCAGCCGTACTTCATAGTCCACTTCCCCCACCTTTCTTACCACTTCAAAGGGGCCTTGCCACTTGGCTAACAACTTGGAGTCCTGTGTGGGTAACAAGAGCAAGACACGGTCTCCCA